ACTTGGGTCTCCCAGGTCCCCCGTGGGCGCCGACGGGGCGGGCCCACGGTAGCCCCGCCCAGAACTGGGGTGAAGAAGGCGGGAGGCGCCGCGGCCGGGAGGGCGGGGACCGGACCTGCCTCATCTCGCCCCAGGCTCGGAGAGCGTCCCCCGCCCCCGGGGCAGGGGAAGGGAAGGGAAGGGGGAGGGCGGGCGAGGCGGCCGGACGCTGGGGCTTCCCCAGCCGCGCCGAGAGGAGCTGGCGCTGCGGGGTCTCGACTCTCAGCCTGTAGCTCGGCGGGGTCCTTCTCCCCCTTCCGGACGCGCGGCTCCTCCCCCCGCGCGTGGCACCCACGTGGGGCTTCCTCACCCGGGTCTCGTAGAGTCGCGCCCACCACCTCTCGCCCTGCGGCGCCACTCCTGGCTCAGCCCACTCCCTTCCAGCCCGCGGCGCGGGGGGCTCCGTGCTCCCAGCGGGGCACTCTCTCCTCCACGCCCCTCCAGGTCCACCTTTCCCACGCCTGTCTCCCCTCCCTCCGCAACACCCCTGCCCACGAGCCAGGGTTCTAAGCTTCCCCGGGGCTCGCTTCCTGCTCGCACGTCCATCTGCGAAACACTCGGGGCACCTCAGCGCGCACCCCCGGCGTCCCCCGGCGTCTCAGCTTCTCTCCCGCTAGTTTCCCCAGCTTCCCCCTCCCTACGGGACCTCGCGCCCCTTTCTTCCCCGAATTTCTCACCCCTCACCGCTCCTCTCTCTGCACCCCCCAATCCCGCGCGTTCCTCGCGCCCTCTGCAAGCCGGTCCGCTCTCCATTTTCCTGGCACCTCCAAAGGGCCTTGCATGTTGGGGGCCCTGGGAGCTAATTTTCACCTAGCTTTTCTGCCCTTCTAGAACCTTCCCGTCTCCCGACCCCCGAGCGTCGGGTCAGCTTTCCCCACTCCCTCTCCTTGCCCCAAACGGGGGTCTTCGCTTCTCCCAAAGCGGACTCCCTCTCTGCAGCCCCCACCCCACAGCCCCGGAGTCTAGTGCACTCTTTTTCTACCCCGTCCCCTCGATTGCTTCTCTCGCCCTAGGGGACTCCCCCCACGATCCCTGATGTTCCTGTCGCCCTCTAGAAGAGGTCCACTTCGCTCACTATCTCCTCTTCAAGACCGGATACCTGGGGGGTAGGAAGCTCTGCCCTATCCTCTGGGGGGGCCTCCACCCACGTTCCCGCCGCCCCAGGGGTCCTCTTCCTCCAGCCAGTTTCCTCCCCCGGTAATTCCCTCCCCCGGCCCGAGCGTGCCGGCGCCCCCGGGGGGCTCCCGTCCAGGGTCCCCCGCCCCTCCGAGCTCACCGTGGTTGTTATCCACGGTTAGCACGCGGGTGACCTCCTTGGCGTAGTAGTCCGTCTCGGGCTCGGGCTCGGGCTCGGCGCTCTCCCCGGCCACCCGGTCGCGGGTACTGTTGTAAAGCGCCAGCACGGCCTCGGGCAGCGGCCCGGGCGGCACCTCCCCCTGGCTCGGGGGGCTGGCGAGCCGCAGCTTGGACAGAATCTGGCCGCGGATGGCCTCAATGCGCTTCCGCTTCACCAGCTCCATGTCGATGGTCTTGCAGGTGGACAGTCCGGCGGCCGGCGGGCCAGGCGTGAGCACTAGTAGCCTCAGCAGCGGCAGCAGCAGCGGCAGCAGCCGCAGCCGCAGCCCGGAGGGCGGCATGGGGGAGGCAGCGCCCCCCGGCACTGCGAGAGCGCGAGCCGAGCTGGTGTGAGAAAAGGGAGGCCCCACTCCTACTGGGGCTGGGAGGGGGGTGTCTTCGGACGAAAGGTAGGAGAGGGTGGGGGGGAGTTGAGGTCCTCAGGAAGGAGGGGAGGCTCTGGTGAGTGGCTTCTTGTTACCCTACGGAAAAATCCGAGATGGGAGCGATCTGGTACCAGAGTTGGGTGGTCTTGAGTAGGGAAGCTGAGACAGGTCTGAGAGTCCGGATCCGGGGAGAAGGGTTCGTGGACCCGTGGGGGCTCAGGAGAGAGGTGGGGGTGGGGAGCGTGCGGGGGNCTTCGCGGTAGTCGGGTTTGCGTTTCCTGAGGCTGGTCCGGAGCGGGGGCGCCTGGGGGACGCCGCGTAGGGGGCAGGGAGGGAGCAAGCGTCCGAGGCAGTGAGGGGGGGAGGCAATCTGGGGTCCCCAAGTCCCGTCTCCTCGCCGGGCAGCGTCGCGCCAAGCGGTCCCCGCGCCTCCGGCTCCCAGCGGCAGCGGAAAAGTCTCAAAACTTTTTTTCCTCTGCTCCCAACCAGCTCGTCCCTCCTCCCGCTCCTCCTCCCCTCCTCCCCGCGGCGGCGGCGGCGGCGGGGGCGGCTCGTCTCAGACTCTGGGGCCTCGGGCTGCTCCTTCCTCCGCTCCCGGCAGAGGCCGGCTCCGCGGGTGGCTCCGAGCCGGGGGGGTGCCCC